CTAGCATATACCGCCTAGAAGCGCAGGACCCACAGGGGCAAGGTCAGAGCTCTGCCACAATCTGTACTGGTGATGGTGAGGCAATATTAAAGGTCATGATATAAGTCTTATTGTGGTTGATTTTCAGTAAAATTTGCTGGCTGAATGCATTAAGTCAAGTTGCTTTTTCTTGTATATGGTGTTGGGTATGTGACAGGACAGCAAGATCATCTGCGAAGTCTCATCTTCAAGGGATCAGAAGGGTGTCCATTTAATGCCTCTTATCATGTCTTCTGTTGTACTCTGCATTACCCAGTCGATGGCAATGCTGAAGAGGATTGCAGATATGACACACCCCTGATGTACTCCTGTTTTGACTTCAAAACTGAGCTCACTGTGATCAACACTGCATGTAAAGTTGAAATAGAAGCTTTTGGTGATGTTGATTATACAGAGAGGGATTTCATATGCCTGCAGAATGTGCCATAGGCTGGTCCTGTGAATGCTATCAAAAGCCTTCTCAAAAGTCTATGAAGTTTATGTAGAGTTGCCGTTGCCATTCTAAGCATTGTTCTATTATGTTTCGTTGAGTGACGATCTGGTCTGTGCATCCACGCCCTTTCCGAAAACCAGCTTGCTCTTTTCTGAGAATGCGATCAACTGCCTCTGATATACGCTGGACTATGATCTTACACAATACTTTGCTTGGCACAGATAAAAGTGTGATACTACACCAATTATTACAATTACTGAGAGTTCCTTTCTTTGGCATCTTCACTATAACCCCATTGGCCCACTCATCTGGCACTTTTTCCCTTTCCCAGACTGATGTAAATAGAGGTGCCAGGACAGATGCTGCTAACTCAGGATTTACCTTGGATAATTCTGCATTCAAGTTATCCTTGCCAGAAGATTTCCCATTTTGTAAGGATTTGATGGCTTGAATGATCTCTTCCTTAGTTGGGGTGTCTGTGTTGATATCAAGATCTTCTTCTGCCTCCTGGATGTTTGCTTCCTCTTTAGGTGGCTCTCTGTTCAGCAATTCTTTGAAATGCTCTGTCTAGCACATTTATTGTTCTTTTCTGTTGTTAGTAGATGGCCTTATTTGTCCCTGATGAGAGTGTTTGTTGGTGTCTGCCATTTACCACTGATAAGCCGCGTCATTTTGTAGATGGCTCCTTGTTCACCATGAGCAGCTGCATCCCTGTTTGTGTTGCCAGATTATCAATATAATGTTGTTTGTCCATTCTCACAAGGCGTTTGACCTCCCGGTGTGCCTTGCTATACTGCTCGTGGTATTTGTCCTTTAGCTTCTGGGATTTTGTATCAAACTTTTTTCTTCGGGCCTCATCTGGTTTCTATGGCGTTCCATGTGCTGGGTGTAATCCACTCCTTCCTTCTCTTCTGCCCGTAGCCTAGACAGGCTTTACTGCTCTGTTTATTAATTGCTGTTACTTTGTCCCACTTCTTGTTGATCTCCTCATCTGCATTCCCCTCCCCTTCATCAAGGTCTGCAAGTGCCTGAAACCTGTTCTTTAACTGCAGAATGAAGGCTTTCTGTATTTCAGGGGACTTTAGCTTGTCACTGTCATAATGTCTATGTCCCTTGTTTGGTGGACTCACACGTCTCAGTTTTAGCTTGATAGAGGCTGTCACCAGGTGGTGGTCACTGCCAACATCTGCTCCCCTTCTCACTTTCACATCTGTCAGTAAGCATCGCCATTTGATGTTGATCATCATATGGTCAAACTGGTTCTTATCTCTGCAATTTGGAGAACACCATGTCAGCTTATGAATTTCAAGATGCTGAAATAGGGTTCCACCGATGACTAGGTCATTCATATTGCAGAAATCAACAAGTCTCTCTCCGTTTTCATTCATGGTGCCACACCCATGTCTTCCCATTGCTCTGTCATTGTTTGTGTTGTCCTTACCGACCTTGGCATTCAGGTCTCCCATGACGATAGTTAGGTTGTGGCGTGGTACTCTCTCTAACTCTGCCTGTAATGTAAGGTGGAATTTGTCCTTTACTTCTTTATCACTGCCATTTGTCAGAGCATAGTACTGAATCAGGGTGATATTGTGTTTCCCTTTCAGTCTGGCTCTCATAAGTCTCCTGATAATGGTCTTCCATTCAAGCAGGGAATACTCCACTACCTTCTTCAAAAGGATGGCAACACTCTCATGGTATTGTCCATCATCCCGTCCAGAATACAGCAAAGTTTTTCCCAAGGCTGTTGTTAATCTTTCTGTCCTGTCCAGCTGCTCTCGCTGACACCCAGGATGTGTAAGCTATAGTGTCTCATCTCTGCTGTGATCTGAGCTAGCTTCCCTGTTTCGTACATTGTCTGTACGTTCCAAAAACCAAGTTTGGTTTTTGTCTTGGTGTTGAGCAAGTGCCAGTGGCTTCATACAGGTTATTGATTCCTGAAGGTCATCACACACAGTAATGGTCCATTTCTCCATCACTGTTTCCATAACATATTTTGTTTTTTACGGGACAGGGTTGTTAGCCCTGTGCCTAACCCACAACCCGGAGGACCAAGGTGTCTGTTTTGTCTGGCCCCTCCCCCACAGACCAATCCAGCATGGTTGAACCTATCAGGAGCAAAAAGAGTGCACAGACACAGACTCTGGGGATCGTTAGAGCACACAAGCTGTCCCACCAACACAAGGCACGGACACCAGAGGACATAAAACTACATAAAATTTATTCGAAATCACTCAATGTCCAAGTGAAACTGTCCAAAATAAAATGAAAAATCTCCCTGTAATCTCTGCAAAAGTCAATCAACAACTGTGCTATGACATGGTCAGCACAAAAGTAGAACAACAGAGTTTTTGTTGGAATAAGGAGGGCTAAGCCACACCAAACCTCATTTGCTTTCTGAGTCAAATTGTTCCAAATCTGATTTTGACTAGCCAGAGTAAACAGATGGCAGCACCCACAATATGCTATGCACATTGCAGATAGAGTAACAGGCATTAGAGAAGGCGCTCACAACCAGAGAGAGGGCAGGGAAAGGGAGCCATGGATAAGAAAAGTGAGTCAAGGTGGTTTTACTATGTTTTGGTAATACATGATTATATTAACACAGGATTTTTCCAATAATTAAAGTATTGTAGAAGCTGGCAGCCCACCTGTTTCCTTCATTACTGATATTCCTAGTGTCACCATCTCATTAAAAGAAAATGAAAGTAGTAAATTACTTTTAATAAAAACAAGTATTTTATAATCCCAAAGACTACAGTTTAAAACTATGTTAGGGCTCTTCATTGTACAATATTATAGTATTTTAATATCAAACATATGATCAGATACAAAAATATTAATTTTATTTTTAAAGGGCCCCACTTTTATCTCTGCCACAGATGAACATCCAACTATGTTATGCTGAGCATGAATGATACAGATCTGCTGTAACCTCACCCTATATCAGACTTTTGCAAGGCTTATGGATTTCTTTGAAACTATTCTCTCTGTATAATACAAATGCAATATTATGAACACTGTTTAAAAATATTTCTAGTGAGCTACAGAACCAAAAATATATCTGAAGTCGATCTTTCAGAACCTATACACTATAAAACAAAGTAATAAAAAGTGCCACCATGAGGACATAATGAGTATGCCATCAAGAACACACTATAAATAAGGCTAAGATTTTGTCTTGGGTTTTTTTAGTAAAAGCCACAGACAAGTCACGGGCAATAATGAAAAATTCACACAAGCCTGTGACCTTTTACTAAAAATATCCATGACAAAATGGGGAGCCTGGGCATCTACCAGTGGGCTGGGAGCTCCAGGGCCCCCACCACCCATGGGGGCTCAGAGCTCCAGGGTCCCCTTTGCCGCCTGCGGCTGCCAGGAGCTGTGGGGGGCTGCCACTGCCTGGGGCAGTGGGGGTACTCCCAGCACCCTGCCTCCACGGGTCTTTGGAAGTCACAATTCTGTGACTTCCACGACTAAATCACAGCCTTAACTACAAAGCAAGTGTTATTTCAATGTACAGCAGAACCACACTAATTCTCACTTCTACTAACCCACAAATGTGCAGTATATACACACACACACACACACACACACACACACACACACACACACACACTTGTTAGCAACTAGCTTTTCAGGCAAAAATCTGTCTGGGGATTGGTCCTGCTTTGAGCAGGGGGTTGGACTAGATGACCTCCTGAGGTCCCTTCCAACCCTGATATTCTATGAAAGATTTTATAGTATATTTCATTACTTAAAAAATATATTACTACAATAAAACTACCATTGACTTTGAAAGTATACACTAAAACAAAATCTATCATTGTCTAAATAAATGATACCACGTTTTGTTGTTTCATTTTTGCATTCCAGTTCAAATTAGTTATGCTTCATTTTACTACCTATACATCAAATACTGTTCAAGTTAAATTTCTAAAAACATATAGGTCTACATTTTCAAATGTGACTAGTAATTTGGGGCATCCAACTTGTGACACCTTAAAAGGGCCTGATTTTTAGGAAGTGCTAAGCACCATCCCCCAGAAAAATCAGATCCCTTTTAAAGTTGCCTCAAGTCATGTTTGAAAATTCAGGCCATTGTGACTACAAACTATTTAGATTTTCTTTTAAGGGGTATCATCTGTGTGTGTTTGTGTGTGTCACAGAAAACTTTGGCTAGGAACATTCACTTAAGGAGTGTTAATTATTACTAGTTAGAAATAATGGGTAAAATCCTGGCCTCATTCAAGTCAACTGGAGTTTTGCCATGGACTTCATTGGAGCCCATATTTCGCCCAAGAAGTTTGTATGACATTCACAAGATACAGAAGAGCTGGTACACCAGACTCCAGGAGCGCTGTCAGCTTTTTTGCCGCCCTAGGTGGCGGAAGGTCCCGCCCCTGAAATGCCGCTCCCAACCAGGGCGGCCGAAGATCCGGCCGCCGCAGTCACCGCCCCCCAAATGTTAGTGCCCTAGGCGACCGCCTAGGTCGCCTAATGGGTTGCGCCGGCCCTGCAAGACTCTCACCTTTGGAGGTTTCAGACTTTTCCTTTTCGGTTTTTTTGGGCGTAACAACCGTTCTCGTTCCTAGAGTAAAACAGAAGATTTTACTTCGTTAACATGTATTTAGATTACACATGACAAAAGGAAACATCATTAAATGTTTTCTTAAAGCATGAGGCAAAGTTACAAAACAACATAAAGACTTCTTGTAATATTTAAACAGGAAAATTCCCTTGAATGTTTTTCCTTTGAAGCCCAGCAACACACTCCACAGGTTTATCTTGAAATTGGCAGGCAAAGGTTTGTAAAATACTGGGCACAGGTTTCTGACAGTTCTTTTTTCTCTGAAGATTATGGAAATATAGCAACACCCATCTCAGGCTGAAGATCAATAGCAAAGGCTAGCTCAGCTCTATTAAACCTAAATCAGTCTGTCACATACATTCTGACACAGAACCACATATGAAGATATTTTTTGTTTGCTGCTTTTTTTTTTTTAATAAAAAAGGAACACACAATGTAGGTTACTCAGCCTCCTAAGGGCAGAAGTGCTAAGAAGGTAAGGCACTGACTATTCACACTTACAGGACTCAGTTCTGAATACAAATTAGGAAGCTCAAGAACAAGTTTGTTGGCTTCTGATCCCAGTTCCCTTGTGCCTTTCTTTTAGCATCAGCTTCGAAGAAGATTGTAACAAATCTATGTTGTAACAAAAGAAGGTCACAAATATACCTAGGACGTTTAGATCTTGTGATCATTCAGCCAAAGAACACTGACTTGACCTTCAGAGGGGGTAGCAGGAGAAGGTAACAGAGGCAGAAAGAGACAAGAAGGGGGAGGAAGGAAAAGATAACAGGTAGGTCCTCCCTCCTATCTTTTTTTTAATCCTCTTTTACTCTGCTAACCCCCCCCCCTTTACCCTAATTCTATTATCCTTTCCAGCTTTACTCTCATCCACCAATTTCTGTGTCCTTCCCTGTGATTCTTCTAGTTTTAAAAGGGTTATAGTGATTTTAGGTTTCTAACTCTAATTGCTGCTAAAGCAGCTGTCTCTCATCTGCCGATATTGAACTACATCCTGCTGGGATACTCAAGTGAGGGCTTCTTCTTAGTAATTCAATCCAGAAAGTGGAAGAATAGTAAACTATCGATGGTACAATGCTTGTTTTGAAATGGTGACGTAATCCATCTCTGCCAGCACACTGCTCCAGAGAAGAAAATTTGGGAATGTACACAGCAATTCAAAATAATGATGGTAACTTAAATAGCACCTTTAATTCAGATGGTTCTCCAAAGTATTTTAGAACTTTTATGGGAACCCCTTCATCTTCACCTAAATGCGACAGCTTCTGGGGTGAAATGCAGCAGGTATTTCATGTTGCACAGCAACACAACAGTTTAGAGTCGGAAGTGAAAAGTACATCTGGGGGAGTTTTAGGTGCAGTCACCCGCATCGGAATCTGGCCAAGACACAGATATTACAGCCCCCTGTCCTGCAAACAGTATTGTAAGCACTTTGACCATGAGTGGTCAAGATCTCAGTTTCATGTCTTACTTCCCCAATACCACTAATGATCACTAATGATGCAATCAAGAGCACCACTTGCTGAATCTTCAACATCATTTTCTGCAGTACCTTAGAAATCAACTTTTCAGGTACTCCCCAGGCAAGCCTGAGTTATGAGATCACAACTTGGTATGGCTGAAATAAGACCATAGATGCTCTATGGAAACTCATAAATTTACTACAAAGGGAATAACCGAAGTGCTGAAGAACTATTTTTCATGTCACTACAATGCCAGTTTTAACTGTACTCAATTCAAATTAACTTGAATATTGCTCTCAAATGATAGGCTGAATGTAGGTTTATGCACGTGTGTACTGAACATGTTTAATATTACCACTGTGAGATCATCAATAACATGCTGCTGCTCTATGACTTGCAGTCTCAGGAATTCCATTTCTTGTTCCTCTCGTGTGCTACTGAGATCGTTCAAGGAAGTGTGTCTCTTCAAAGTCGGCTGTGTGGATAACTTTTCTTTCTGCAAAAATCAAGTTTATTACAACCAACTCTTAAATGTCTTCCTGCAGCATTAGGTAAAACCCTCACCTCTGATACACTAACGTGATGCTTCAGCAATCTGCTCCAGCACAACGTAAGGTCCTTTTTCCACCAAGCAAATATTTACACTTTAAACACATACAGAGTATATTCTACATCTCATTTGGACATCTAAAACTAGGATGGAGAAAGCACTGGTGAATATACTCTAGAGAACAGTCCTGAAGAGTGTCTTTACCATCTCTAGTTTATACAGGTCAAATTCAGCTCTGACATATACATCCATGCAAAATCCCATGGTATGCCAAGGTTAATTTTAGCCCTCTATTTTATACCCTTTTATACCCTTTACACATTAAAGCCACAATGATCCTTATTCTTAATCAATTTTGTTTAATAAATAATGACAAAGCAAATAAAAATAACAGAGAGTCCTGTGGCACCTTTAAGACTAACAGATGTATTGGAGCATAAGCTTTCATGGGTGAATACCCACTTCGTCAGACGTATTCACCCACGAAAGCTTATGCTTTCATCTGTTAGTCTTAAAGGTGCCACAGGACTCTCTGTTGCTTTTTACAGATCCAGACTAACACGGCTACCCCTCTGATACAAATAAAAATAAACACTCTGATTTTAGAATACTACCCACCACTAGAATATTGTATCTGACATTGACACCTTCACATGGCTTAGCTTCTGACATACCAGTATTTATCCGAGTAAGAGCCACACATTTATTTTCAACTCTAAGCTACTAAGAGCAGCTGCTCTTACAAAGTAACCTCTGATACGTATGAGATAGTTGCTTACCACTTCTGCATTTTCCCTTGTGAGATTTTTAATTTTTTCTTCCATCCTCTGGATACACTGCAACATGTCCTCATTCTTTTTGGTCATCCTCTTGTTTTTCTCTACAAGGGGCTTCAGCTGACCTTCGGTCTCCCGAGAACGTTTCAGCTGCAAAGGGGGAGGAACCCCAAAATGTCAGTTAATCATAATCTGGGCTACAATGACCTGAAAGGAGGAGGAACACTTGGGTTTTAAGTCTCCCTTCATTCATTTATTCATTCATTCATAAAGACTATTTTTCTGCTTACACACCACTGCTGAACTAAACTGTATGCATCTAAAAACTTATAGCCTTTGCTTGTTACCAAAGTGAAACTAACATGGAAGTCAATGCAGGTTTGAGTAAAAAAAATCAATGGCAAGGATGCAGCACTCCCTATTAACAGAACTGAAAATACCCTCACTGCTAAGGCTGGTCTTTGCCATTATACATCATATTTTGTTGTTGGGAAGCACACAGATTTATATAGTTTATCTCTTGATAAACTGTAAATCTTATTATGCATGTGCTTTTTAGTTATTAGCCCTTTTCCTAGAGAAGGGAATATAATAGTTACCTTTCACCCATTTAAATATCCTTTATTAGAAATATACCACACTCCCTTATTTTAAGGAAATTATACCTAATGTGTAATTAGCACAATCAGGGAGTCAGCCAGAGGGCACAGATTCAATCTCAGGGTTCTGCTGACATTTTCAGCTGCTCAATTTTGTTCCCCTGTTTTTATGATGTCAGACAATCATCTCAAGTAAATTACCGCCCTTTCCCCAATTTGTGGTATTCAGTATTTTACTAGTTTTATCTCCACAGTCCTTGAACTGTTCTGTTTCCCTATTTTTATCATCAAAAAGACTTTAATATGCACTGGGCTTTAACTGAAACTTCAGGAAGATAACATTTTTCTTAAAGATTTGTTTCATCTTGGGAAGGATATACATTTTTGTCATAAGAATTCAAGTACAGCAGTTTACAAAGTGCCTCTTCATATGGCAAAGCCTGCTTTACTTTTTTAAAAACATACTGGTGATGCCTTCACTCCAGGCATCCAGAAGAGTATTTGATTGAATTATACATGCCCCACATCCTACTTTAATGTAATAGGCCCCAAAGATTTCAGTCTGCAGTATTTTAGCATTTCTTAAGGGTGTGAAGGAAGGTAAATAGCACCTCAGGGAAGCGATCCAGTTACTAAATAACCTTTTCCTCCCAATAGCACACCAGATAAAAGAAGCAAAGTATTACTGAAAGAAAAAAAGTAAAGAAGAGCTAGAGCAAAACAATAAGATAGTCAAGAGCACAAAGGATATTCAGTATCGAAGAGTAATATTAGGAAAATTACTTACAGCAAAACACCACCTTACCCAGGTCAGCCATGCTTGCCCTTATGCTAACACACATGAACCATTAAGGATCATGCAATATGATCCTAAAAATACTACAAGGGTGCTAGGAACAATTTGTATAGTGGGGGTGCTGAGAGCCATTGAACCAAACTGTGAACCCTGTATATGATGGAAAACACTTCAAGCCAGGGGGTATGGCAGGACCCCCAGTACTCCTAGTTCCAGCACCTATGAAAGAATATAGGAAATTATTTGAAGAGAAAAGCTATAGGAGAAGGGCATGATATTTCTCTCACTCCAGTTTTTATACTAGGGTAGTGCCATTAATAGCATTAGTCCTGATTTGCACCAACGCTAAAGTGTCTAGTTTCTTTAAGCAGCCTATTGATTATCCTTATTGAAGACGCAGAAGACAAGGAATTCATCACTGCTCTGTTCCAATATGTATTCTTTTAGAATATGTATGATAAGAAATGGCTATTTACTGTAATTGTGATTCTTTGAGAAGTAGGTGTGCATGTGTCCAGTGCACCAGAGGAAGAGACTTTTGCCTAGCAGTACCCGTAGAGGGGCAGTGCTCGCGCCTCATGGCTGTGGCCCCTCCTCTGGCTATATGAGGCACTGCCTCAACCCCCCTCAGTTCCTTTGCACAAATGTCCATGAGGGGAGACTCCAATGCAGAGGGACAGTGAGTGGGTCATGGAATACACGTCTGCATCACATCTTAAAGAACCATAATTACAGTAAGTAACCATTTCTTCTTCTTTGAGTAGATACAGAGATGTATTCCACTTAGGTGATTCACAAGCAGTACCCCAATCCAGAGATGGGGCTCGGAGTCTACTGGAACAGGGATTGCAGGACTGCCCTTCCAAGGCCTGGGTCCACATCTCTCTGGAGCCACCCTTCAGTAACCAGTCATTGAGATATGAGTGGATTCCTTCGCTCCTGAGATATGCCACGACCAATGCCATGCATTTGGTGAAGACTCGGAGGGGGCAGAAGAGAGATCAAATGGGAGAACCGTGTACTGAAAGCAGCATTCTACCACAAAACAAAGAAACTTCCTGTGACTCAGCAGAATTGCCACATGAAAGTAGGCACCTGAAGGACCAGAGCAGTGAACCAGTCATTCTGAGATAGTGCTGGGAGGATAGCCAGAAGAGTAACCATGCAGAATCTCAGATGAATTTGTTGAGGCCATGAAGGTCAAGAATGGGTCTCATCCTGCCCTTGGATTTTGGTATCAGGAAGTATTGGGAGGAGAAGCTGGGGCCCCAGTGTTCCTGCAGGAGTTCCTCCACCACTTCCAATATTAGCACAGAGTTGACCTATTCGATGAGCAGCGTCTTGTGAGAGGGGTCCTTGAAGAAAGACAGCGTGGGTGAGTGTGTGGGTGGGAAGGGGCACGGAGAAGAACTGGACTGGATTGCTAGGATCCAGCTGTCGGAAGTAATCAAATCCCAAGCATTGTAAAAACAGGCCAGCCTGTTCCCAAAGCGATAGGGGGATAAAGAGGGCAGAGTAACGACTGGACCAGTGCTCTGGACTAAGGAGTCAAAATGGGTGCTTAGCAGGCCTGAGCCTGACTGCTTTCTCTTTCTCCCTCTTTGTACGGTAGTCCCACTGTTTCAGGGGGAAAGGTTGAGCAAAAGGAATGCTGCAGGCAGTATTGCTGCTGTACCCCATAATGGTATCTTTGCACAGAAGGCATGTACACTCCCAAGGCCTCAAGGTAGCCCTGGAATCCTTAAAGAAATGCAAAGTATCATCAGTCTTGTCCAAGAACAAGACCTGGTTGTCAAAGGGCAAGTCTTCAATAGCTTGCGGGACGTCCAAAGTGATCCCACAGTTTTGAAACCAGGAAGCCCTCCTTATAGTTACCACTGAGGCCATCACCCTGGCCAAGGTGTCCGCAAAGTGAAGGGTGGACTTCAGGGTCATTTTGCTGCAAAGCAGCTTCCACAGCGAATGCCTGAAATTCCTCATGCTAGACGTCAGGGCAGACAACTGGTCCTCAGATTTAGATATGGCTGACCAATTGAGGAAATTATACTTGGACAGCAAAGCTTGTTGATTCACGATCCTCATCTGAAGGGACAAGGAGGTATAGATCTTTCTGCCCAGAAATTCCAACTGCTTGGAGTTTCTGTCCTTGGGGGTAGATGTGAACCTATCCTGTTGGGCCTTGACATTTACTACCATTACAACCAGGGAATTCAGGACTGAGTGGAAATAGAACCCTTCCGATTCCTGCATAGGAACAAAATAGTGCTTTTCCACGCACTTAACCACTGGTGGTACTGAGGCGGTGGACTCATGCCGGCTCAAGGAGTTCATCTTTAATCAGGAGGGCCACTCTCCCAGGGACAGCAGGCTGCAAAATGTCTAGCAGTTTGAGTGTGTTCTCCTGGAGAAACTTCACATGGATGCTGAGGGATGAGATTATGTGGCATAAAAGATCCTGGTACGCTTTAAAGTCCACAACTGGCTCTTGCTCCCGGGAAGAAGTACCCTGGTGGCTCTGCAGGGAAGAAGACAACCAATGCTTGGGCTTTTGGCTGATGCGCAGTCACCCCCATCAACCTGGCGGGTGACTTTGGCTTAGATCGGGACAAGGAGCAGGATCTCCGCAAGCAAGTAGTATCCCACTGAGTCCAAGGAGGCCACTAATATGGGGAGAACATTGGTGGTCAGTAGGGGCCAGGCCAGGGACCTCTGCCCCAGCCATGGGGCATGTGCCAACCCTGGTCCATATTGATCCACTGGCCCTTGGAGCTTGTCAGGGGATGCGAAGTGGGAAGATGATGACCCTGACTTGGATTCATAAGAACCCTGGGATCTTGGGGCCAAGGCGGAGTGATGCCCGAGGGAGCCAATAGGCAGTCCAATTCATCTGACGTCCAGAATGAGGCAGGAATTGGTGCCCCCTGATGATGGAGGTACCGTTGGTACTGAGCATGCTGGTGCCACAGACAGTTGGAGTCTCGGTGCAAACAGCAGTACCAAAGCACCCAAGTGGGTCAAGGGTGGAGAAAGCCACCGTGGGAGCCTCTGCAGCGTCAAATGCAGCGGGGCTGGAGAGGGTCCCCCGTACCAACACACATGAGGATTCAGTGGCTCGCTCCATCAGAGGGGCTACAGATTTTCCCTGCCTCTGGCACTTCAAAGATATATCTACTATGACAGGGCCAAGACAAAACTGGCACCGTTGCTTGCAAACAGAATGACCAGTCACTAGGGGGAAAGACGGGGGGGGGGGGGCAAGTGGGGCAATTTGCCCCAGGCCCTGCAGGGGCCCCCATGAGAAATTAGTATTCTATAGTATTGCAACTTTTTTTTATGGAAGGGGCCCCCGAAATTGTTTTGCCCCAGGCCCCCTGAATCTTCTGGGCGGCCCTGGGGAAAGAAAAAAAGAGTACTGGATTTTACTAGATAATATTTTAGTTATGGTAGGTACGTTAGTCTTTGAGGACAGGTATTTCGTTACTCAAGAATAAATAAAGGAAGACAAAACCTTCATATTGTTTCACAAATGAACTCTTCTGAAGTTTTCATGTAAATTAAGTCAAGGTATCATAGCTCAATTAAGTCCATTCATCACAAAGCAGAGCCTTTCAATACCAAAACAATAGCCTAAAACTGATAAACCAGTAAGGTGATTTGAAAACCTCGTACAATATCCACACCAGTCAAATACTGTACAAATCACATGAAGAGCATGTTACATTTACCATGCCAGAAACCAGGTGTCAATTTAGAAACAAACACACAGCTCCAGTGGTGTTGGAACAATTTGTATAGCAGGGATGCTGAGAGCCATTGAACAAAACTGTAAACCCTGTATATAATGGAAACCACTTCAAGCCACGGGGTGCTGCAGCACCCTCTGCACCCCTGGTTCCTGCACAGCTCATGTTATGGAACATTCTAAACCTAGCCAGAGTGAATGAATTATCCTTTGCTACTGCCAAGACATACAGGTGGGATTTTCAAAAGTTCTCAGTGTTGTCATAACACTGCTTCCATTGCAGTCAATGAGAGTTTTACCATTAACTTTAATGACAGCAGAGTTAGACCAACACTGAATGCTTTTGAAAATTGCACCCCAACTATCCAAGAAAATACATTTATTAAATGCTCATTTCCAAGTTGCTATCTTTCACCCACAATACCTCCTCCTATTTCAAGAGTTTCCCTGGAGATTAGGCAATGGTAGATTTTTCCATTAGAAAAACAAGCTTTGTAGCTCTTAGTCAGCGTAAGAAGTTCACAAAACAATGGTGGCATTGTCAAGTTTCATTACTTCAAAGAGTAATACAATAAATTAGTTACATAGATTACATACATGTCATGGTGCAGTATATTACCAAATGCTGCATGCAAGCTACCACTCATAATTTGGTGCCCCCTTTGTGTGAACTATTTGTAGAGAGTTCTGAAGAAGATGAAAAGGAGGAGCAATCATTTCTAAACCTTTTCCAAAGTTGAGTTTCTTATGTTAAATTTCCTTCTCTTTGAAAAAGGAAAGTGACTTTTACATGGAATGACAGCCTGGAGGACAACAGATTTAGCTCTGACCCCTGCAAATGCTCCATCCTTGTGCCCAAACGAACCATTCAGTGAAAAGGAAAAGCACCCAGAAAATAGCATAATACTGTTCTCTCTCTACACCAGCAGTTTCAAAGTCCTGGCTGAATAGCTACTATGGTGTTAGACACCTTAGAAATAGGAGATAGAAAAAAATATTCCTGGGAAAGACATGTGGAAGAAAGAAATGGTGAATTTGCATTTAATTATTATTTATTAATTATTTAATTATTTAAACATCTTAACTTCAGCGAATGACCTCTATAGAGGTCATGTTTGGGTGTAAAGGGACACAGTTTCTTCTTAGAATATATACATATTAAGTAAAACTAAAAAGCAATAAAGACAAAGATTAATATTTTTAAAATCAGTTCTTAAGGGACCTCGTAAGAATCAAAGGAAAGAAAATAGTGAATATCTGAGTCAAGCTACTTGCAAAGAATGCATGTGATGAAGGGACATACAACAAGGGGACAAGAAATAAGGGAAAGTAAATCAACCAAATAGGAACATTTAAAAAAATCTTTAAGTTCTACAGTATTTCAGTTTGTTAGCAACAGAGACAAATAAGTTAAACTCTGCCTGAAAACACAACTTCTCTGAGTACCATTAAGATATTGTCCTGCAAGTCACCATCTGTGTTATTACTAATTATTTTACCAGTTCATTTCTTTCATCTGCTAAAAGGGTATTTCTGTCTTCCAGCTTCCGTATTACAGCATTCAGTTCAGCGATTTTTAGTTGAAATCTCCGTATGTCTCGTTCATCCATATGCTGTTCCTTTAAAAACATACAAACCAAAAAGGGATTTTTTTTCCTTTCAAATATTCATTTACTACACAGAAACATGTACTTAGATTATAGCAGGCAGAGTTTGCATTCAGTGTATGCATACAGCATGAATACTGTAGAGAATATCTATAGGCATTTGTATCATTGACTGGAAAATATTTTTTATTGACATGACCTGTTGCAAATATTTCTTATAAAAGAGTCACATGGTTGTACAAGCTGAAAAAGGGCAAGCAGCCAAAAGGTTAACTCTAAGCTACAATATGTAAAAAATTAAAATTAAACCTTAAATTATGTGTGTAAGACCTACTGCTAGTGTTCTTTGTACTAGCTATATCAGTCTCATGCCAGAATTAATAGTACAGCACAGAACATATTTATAAGATAGCACCTTAGAGATTTGGAAAAGAATAAGTACAAATTCCCTTTTAATGTCTACTGTTGTTGTATAGAATAGTTCATATTCATAAAATAAATAAATGTCTGAAGGAAACAAATGGTTCATCATTGCAACTGGAGAAACGCACTTAATCAGTCATCAATTACAAGTAATAACCTCACATTGTGGCCACATTTCCCAGTTTAAATGGTCTAAATTCAAATGTTTTAAACATTCTTCAAAATTCAAGAGACATGTGGAGTTTTTAATACTCAAAAAAGTGGAGTTACTTTTACCGCAACAATGCAACGTACAGTGCTGTTACCAGTGCAATGCTCCTTTGGCAAGAATTAAACACAACTCACAATTCTGTGTTTTCAGAGTATCTGGAAATGCTGTGAAAGCAGATACAATAACTGACCTATGAAGACTATCTGCTTCTCTTACCGGGCTTCCCATCATTTCAGTGATATCCCCTACTCCAGCAGGAAGTTCCTTCTTGGGGCTACCATGGTACCGTTCTGCCTCCTTTACTTGGACAAGCTGTTCATCCAAAGCTTCTTTCTGAAGCAGCAGCTTTTGTGCATGGCCTGCCTGGACACCAAGATCTTTTTCCAAAGCCAAAATCACTCTGTCTTTGCCTTTTATCTCATCCATCTGCAAGGGAACAGAGCAAGGGAGAAACTTCTGTAACATCTCCATGTATTTACAACAGGCAGCAAATATACCCACAAAAGAAAGTTCTGCTCTCAAAACTACAGTGACCACCTAATTGTGACTCTTTAAAATCAAGCTGCATCTACCTGAAATAAACATTCTTTTTCCTGCAGAAAACGTCAGTCTTCCATTTGCTGAGGCCCCAATCTAATGCCCATTGAAATCAATGATTACTTCAATAGAGGTTGGAGTAGGCCCTATGTAACAAAGTGCTGGGAACTAATAAATGAGACAGCACTCTGATCACTTAGGCACCAATCAGCTCCCCTGGAGAAGGCTGATTGGGGATATGCAACTAATTAGCTGACCAGGCTAGTGAACCAATTAGCCAGCAGATGAGAAGTATAAAAGAAGACCCAGGAAGGCAGTGAGGGGGGAGGACCTAGGCTAGCTGAGCCTAGTATGCACTGAGTTCTCAAGGAAGGGAGATGCCTGTTCCTGGTTGGTCCAGTAGGAAAGAGCCAGAAACCTTGCAAATACTTTGCTGCACAAGACTGTATTGGAGATGGGAATATAAATAAATTCATATAATTTGCCACCTACTGATGGAGTCTGAAAGGTTTCTGGGGCTTGTCCTATTATGCCCTACATAAGATAGGTATAAAACAAAGAGAAAAAATGCTCTCTATTTGAGGATGCATAATTTCTCTGGACAAAAAAAGAACCTTTCTTCACTATATTCTGGGAAAGATATTCACCTGTGGGGCAGAGGGCCAGGAGGAAGCCAATGTACCATTTAAATCCCAACTAAGCCTTATTTTGAGGCTTAAGTGATACATCAGCCTCCTGCTGCCCCACTAAGAGTGAATTTCAGACATGACAATTCTATCCACAGACAAATGCTGTTAAAACCAAAATGTGTACATTTAATCCAAAATTTGGAAACATACCTAACTACTTTTCTTCTTGCTCCTTGTGATAAGATTAAAACGTAGATTAGTCTTTGCATAGAATGAAAAAGGAAATGTTTTATATCACAGCACTCTGAGTGGGTGAGACACTATTTCAGCATGGTAGGGAGAAACGTTTCCCTAAATCCTATCTATGTTTACCCAAATGTGTTGCTCACGCATCTCAAAACTACACAGAGCATATTACCAGCAGTAAACTACTGTAGCGTACACTGGATGTGCCCCTCACAGCATCAGCAAAATTGACTTTGGTAATATTCCAAACACTAGGGGAAGTGGCAATCTACACTAGTTACTATAGAAACAGATTTCTTAACATGTACACTAACAATGTACCATATATCTATTGGGAATGTGCTGCATGCTTTCTTTTTCAGTTTACTGCCTCATTTCCTTCCTCCCTTCAAATGTAAATCCATGGGATCATTAAAAAACCCAAAATTAAATCCATTAAGTCATATCATATGTAACATATTCCTTATCCCAATCCTACATTAAGAGTGCATTAACCTTAAACAGTCAAGTGCTCAAAGTCAGGAAATGCCAGAATTAAGGTTGTCCTTGCAAGTGTAACTCTGGTGCCTTGTATGTTTGCATTGCAATAAATTCTTTATTACATGATCACAGACTATTTGTTTTGATTCTTGCCTTACTCAGTTCCAGTGAATGAGGCAAGGCTATGCACTGACTCAGGCTGGTACCTTGCTTCAGACACGGCAGAAGTTGGACCCTGTGAAGCAAATGGAGGCATGATCCACGGTAAGAGGAAGGACAACTTGTTGTTAAGAAACTGGACCGGTCCCAGAAGATCTGGATTCTACCACCACCTCTGCCACAGATTTCCTAAAGGACTCTGGGTAAGTCACTTAATTGTTCTGTGCCTCAGTTTACCCACCTCACTAAATGCATGAGAACAAATTAATTAATGTTTGTGAGGTTCTCAGCTATTATGGTGATGAGTGGAAAAAGGAAGGGTTCTCAAAAAAGAAAAAAATCGTATTCATGGAACGATTTGTATGATGTGTACTCTTTGAAGCAGGGCGACAATGAACAACAATAAAAATAATTGAACAATAAAAAATATTGAACAGCTGCCTCATTCACGGAGCACCATCCATCAAGTGCACTGAACCAGGCAGGGGTCCTCTGAGAAAATAATATCTGATCATGGAACTAAACACTGTGGGCAAAATTCTGCTGTCAGTTACACAGGTGCTGTTCCCATTGAACCCAATGAGAGCCACTCCCATGCAACCGAAAACAGAATCAGGCCCTGTAACATAATGCATATGCATGGGGAGGAAGAATTAAAGTTGCATGGAAAGCCTTAATTTTAGCAACGGCTATCTTCTGGGCGCTTCACTTTACAACCCTAATGTTCCTTTAATTTAAACTTTAAATGGAATTTCGTAGTTGTTAAAAGAAAAATGAAGAGACATTTCGGCATGTGTTGCTATTTGCTAAACAGCAGCAGAATGCTCTGTTCTATGCAATACGTACAGTCATTGAGGAAGAAACTCAAGCCCTGGTCTTTTTCCATGTACAACTTCACAAATCATATTCCACAAGCCCATGAGGTTCCAGGAAGCAATAGAAGTTTTGGGGTGTGTGGTGAGGGGCCAGCAGGAGGGGTGTTAAGCAGAAAAACTGCTTTCCTCCAGCCACCTCTTTTTCCATGCTTAAAAACAATCTATTTTGGTGAAACTTTCAAGCAAAAATAATCACATTTCAGTCAAAAAAGTTAAACTTCAGTAAAGTTATAAGAAACTGAAATGACCCCTTTGACCGGAAATGTATGGGCAACCTATTTTTTAATACACACACACAATATGTATATATATATATATATATATACACACACATATACACACATACACACACACACCTATACATGCTGTAATGCACGTTTCATTACAGCCACAAAGAGACAGAAGAGGAAGTTTTTAAGCAAGCTTGCACAGTTAATTCAATTCATAAAGATAAACAGAACAGCGGCACAGTTGCAGTTAGACACCCATCTGTCTTATGTTGCTATGAGCAACAGTATCTCCACGTTGAAAAAGAAACATATCTGAGGATGGAATAATGGAAGTGAAAATATTGTTATCTTGGAAGGTTTTAGACAGACAAATTGGATCTTTTAATGGTGAAGGAATATTGTATCTCTTTATTGGGTGAATCTATATTAAGAAAAACATTTAAATATGCATTTTGTATCCAACTCTCCTCTCTTGGATCCTTTCATTTCTATCTTTACTAAGAGAGAGTTATGAAATATCTGATGCAGTATATTCTTTAATGACAGAGGTTAATCCTATTTCAGCAGTTTAGGTCAAAATTCAATTCCCCCCTTCCCTCAAATGAAGAGGTTCACCTTTGATCTGTCCAACATAACTAATGCAATCTAGCTGCTTCCTCACTTTCACAGCCTCAACCTGCCCCCCCCCCCCAGTCTCAAGGATTTCTGCCTTCCTTCCACCCTGACCAAAAAGCAGCAGACTTCTCCATTTTTACTTGTCTCCCCATTATATACAAAGACTAATGCATTGCCATGGGGACTACTGTACATTCAGTCTAAGATAACTTTTTCTTCACAAGGCTATAGGCTAAGTGTTGCCCTCTGACACTGCATATAGTAGTCCAGATCTTGGCCACATGAGCACACATACAAGTCATGTACAAGTATATACTTAGCATAAATTAGACCAATCCTCTAGCTACTTTGACATAAGTCAGCTGATAAAAGCCTCTGGGAGCCCAAACTGTATCCATCAATCAGTTTGGCTTAGGTGTGGCCTTGACACTCCCATCAGCAGAGGGTTGGGCATGCCAACTCTATGCCACTGGAGGATCCCCTTTTGCACAGGAGTGGTCTTGCCAGAGCTGGTCACACTGAATTTACAGGCAGCAGGTGCTGGCAGCATGGTGCAGGTTTCATTTAATAGGAAAAAAAGAACATGTTCCAATATTAAAGTGACTTAACCATAATGAATTAATCTCTTTGGATACTTTGTTAGGTACTATGCTAATTAAATACAAAAGAATTTTGACAAAGTGCCTGATTCTAATCTCACTTATACCTTACATGAGTGTAATGTGGAAGCAGAAAAAGAACTGTCAGAAAAGAACTGCAATGCATGAC